TAGGAAATTTGTTCAAAGGCAGTAAAATTTAGAATCGGATCTGTTTAAGCGTACATTGATGGAGAGATGGTTGAAATCCACATACATTTAAGTTGTTTAAGTGCTTAAAACCAAGCGAAACTATTTTTCATTTAAGATATGAGGAAATTGATCACCACACACTTGTCTCGATCTTCGTTAAGGAGTATTTGACTAACGAGTTTCACTCTCAACCAAAACCTGGGAGAAATCTACCACGATACGATGTAAACGATGATTGTAGAATAGTGTTTTCGCCTCTAGGTTACAATGTTAAGTTCCACTAGACTACTTGTATTAAATCTCACTAACTGTTCATATTCTCGGCTTCGACTTTCTCAGACAACTATCATTATAGCTGGGCTGATATACGCCCAAACGACTTCAAGTTTGAAATATAGTCAGTTCAGCACACCTTCGTATGACCTGGAAATCATAAATAGTGAATGAAATTTAGAAAGTCGGATATGGAATAAATCATAGCTCACCCGTTTGTTCCTGCAATTTATAGTTTTTTTAAAAGGTTTTGTTCGTAGAGTTCAAATATATTCTACTTTTCATCATTACTTCAAGGCGTCAAACCGATCCAGATTCCATACGATCCTATATATAGTAGTAGAAAATAGCAAGTTAAATTTCGTTCAACTTGCAGGAGAGCAAGGACCAAATCGGCTTTACAGTCTGACTTTTTATTCGAGGTAATGGATATACAGCTCCACAAGATGTAACTCATAACATGGGACAGTTTACCCAATGATATACCTTTTCCTCCTCGGAACGTGGCTTCATATCTAGGATCTTACGCCGGAAATCAACTTAGGGTTAAGGAACTTTTAATGCTAATCATGAAACCATGCCTAATCATGCTGATTAAGGTTGACATTCGTTCGAGTCTGGAGGAAACGCATGGTCAGCTGTAAGTTCAGGAGATTAAAGCCAGTATACTTTGGGTAACGCTCTTTATCCCTCTTGACTTTCAGACAAAGGAGTGGATTCGCGTGGAAAGGTACGGAAACCAGTGGTCGCCTTCCATAATTTAGCGAATCAACGGTTTCGCAAAGTTGGAGACCAACCCCTCGGCGAGAGCTGCCCCACGGGCAAGCGCAGGGTTGCATTAATCATATTTAGTGCCACAATCAAATTCCTCCCATCCTCTTGGCCACACCGCTCGGTCCCACCACCGTTCATATTTAGTAAGATCCAAGACGCGATCTAGGAAATTCCAATAGACGAGGGAAGCCACCGGGAGTCCTACGAGATCCAAGGCGCTGATGCTAATCACATCGGTAATCATAATCAGATCTCGGCCACGCTGTACAATGTACACCCCCTCTCCTGAAGGCTCTGAAGGCTGAAGTCCGGACTGTGGATCCCTTGCGAGGTCACCCGGTAGTCGTGCACTACAGTAGCACGACCCCGACGACATCCGATGTACGTGGTCAAGGTGAGCGGAATATGAGGAACGCGTCCCACCGTGGTGAGTGGGACATGATTGATGACACTGTTGGCGATGCCAACACGAGTAACGTCCAGAGTCGATGTGTATGGTCCTTTCGAGACAGTCCTTCCGTGCGTTCTTATCTTCAGTGAGCTGCTCGCAATCCCAAATCAGCTCTCGGTACGAGAAAACTTGTCGGTAATGCCTTCCAATCCCATCGTGACTTACATTGCAGATTTCTATGAAATAATGTTTTATACGGATCGATGATCTCGAATTGCGTTGTGTATCAACATGCATCAATCAAGTCGCCTTCGCTTGAGCCCCGGATACCGAAGCATTTGACTCAAGAAAGATCCAACGGCCACGGATGCTCAATCCTCATAGTATTGGCTTCCTGGGATGAGATTTCCGAGTCTATGAGTCTGATGTGTCTTTTAATGTCTACAACGCTTGAGTTCAGGTGGAGAACACTATTTGAAGGAATAAAATTTTTAATTCGAAGTTCCTGTGGACCCTTGAATCGTGTGCTGTATCGACCATCCGTTATCATACTTGGAGGAAGTAGTTGCTCTCTCATAGCTTTGAGCTCTCTCATAAACATTAATTAAATTATAGTCTGAAGCATACACGGGAAACGACAACCCTCGGCACGGTTCCGCTATATTTTTACAATTTGGTTTCTCCTCGGGAAGAAGAGAGATAAGTTGGTAAAAATTTCATAATACTATATTGGTCCATAATTGAGTGTAGTTAGTTGTTATTTCTTGGGAATTATTTAAAGTCTTGGCCGTATTTATTTACTGATGCACAATGGTTCTCTGCGCGACGTAGACTGCACTTGTTAGGTATATCTATCTACTGTACCTAGAATAATGAAATTCAATAATTTTTTTTTTCAGATTCATGAAGAATTTTTTTTTTCACAACTGAAAGAAGATCATAGTTTCATGATCTTTCAAAAAAGTTTTTTTTTCGAATTACCAGCATATTTTCAAATATTTTCGATCAGGATAGTGTCATAAAATGATAAAAAACACTTTAAATATAGATTGCACAAGAAATATAAATTGCATAGATGATTTTTTTTACGCTTAGTGGCTTCTACGTGGATTTTTCTTCTTACAGAAATGATGTGTGAAAGTTTCCCAAATTAACCTTATATATTTACTGCTGTCAGAACATAACTGATATATATATATGTATATATATATATATATATATATATATATATATATATATATATATATATATATATATATATATATATATATGGAGAAGAAAATGAACGAAAATTGTCCCGATACTATGGAGATGTGATTTTATGTATTATCCTCTATACCGTCTATGAGAGCTTGTGACTCAGTAGACTCGTAGCGAGCTTGTGCTTCAGCTTCTTGTCGTAGTAGGGCTAGTTTCCTTGGTACCTAGGCTTATCGTCGGATCATATTATATGAGATATTAGTTTGGCCTGATATAATCTCAGTTAAAAATAGTGCCAGCAACGGATTCAGTTGGTCTGCCTTTTTGTGTTTGCCTTTTTGGCTTGAACTTGAGTGTAGCAGGTTTTCGTTGCCAATTATTTCGAGATGGGCTATCTCTATCCTATCTGTATTTTTGGTTTGTTGATTTCTTTGCATTTACTTGGGGGTTATACGTCGAGGATGCAGTCGTATCCCATATACGTACTATCACGAAAATAGTATGTAAAAATTATCTACGTACGCACTCCTGTGGCGGTACTCACAAACTACTGTTTGTGGCGTGTGAGGCAAACCGTATATTGTGCAAATCGTATACTCCCCGAACCCTGTTACTGTCTTCAGTAAATAGAAATAAGAGATGAGTTTAAAAATTGGAAGTATGTTAAAGTGGCCCCTCGACAGTCATGAATGCCTGATCTCTATGATGGGACCTTTGAGCCAGGGAATGGGGAAGTTCTGGATTTAACGAAGGGACGTCATTGGCCTCGTAGCAAGTGAGTTACGTGCGATGAGGATAACGGGTACCAGACAGTTCTGTACAGTACAGTATCCGCAGAATCTTCCAGCGCTTTTCCGTGGGGCCCACCGAAAACATTCATCGACCCGGTTATCTGAACCTCTGGAAAGCATCGGGAATCACCGTTGAATTTGTAACTCACCCGTAATTTTTGGTTCGCTCGTTGGTAACTCTTTCAAATTCAGGACTTACAGAGCCGCATGTCGGATCGCAATGTGGACATGCAAAGGGCGGAAAGTATCGAACTACTGCAGTTTGTGTTGCTGTAGCCCGCAGGCCCACGGCCGCAAAGTCTTACGGTGTTGTGAAGCAACCTACTGCACCCGATGCCTCATCATCCGAAGACTCAGTACGAAGTGGAGGTGGGGTTCCGATCGTATCTCACTTTGCGTTTGATATTTTGAGATATTTCTTGTCTTGCACTTGCTGGGCCTGGACCAAAATATCATTCCTACTGTATCTTAGGAGCCCAAGATTATTATATTATCATCCTCATTTCTTTACACAGATGCCTTATTAGACTCCAATCGACGTGAACGAAAAAAGAGACATGAAGACGATATTTTTGGTTTCACGCGGAGGGAGCACTACGAAAAAGAAATGATTCGGACTAGTGGGGTAAGTTTTTTGAGTATTTGGAGATACTTAATCATGTGTGGCCTAAAACAAGCAGCTCTCGTCGAGTCAGATGCATGTCGTCCATGCCCCGGCATACACGTAAAGCTGAGGCAACGAGATGCTGGATCCGTCGAGAAAGAGGTTTAGGTCCTGCAGGACGTATGAAAGAATTTCGGATCATCCCGTTGGCTAAACTATTGAAAATCGTCATCAATATTATTGTTATGTAAACTGGGATTTAGATAGGTACAGGCGGATAACTGCTCGAAGGGCGTGTTTTGCAGTCAAGCTCGCATCTCATAGTCTCGTCTAATCCACAAGAGGATGCTCGTCGACAAACTTCACCTTTTAGTTCTTGTACCTTTCTCTGTCGGTTTCGTGCAGCTCCGATCCGCATTGTCGAGTCACTGATCAGAGTGATTTAGACCTCGATCGTACTCGTATTAGAAGTACATTATCAACTGTCATCTACTTTGATCTCCTCCTCCTTTCTTTACTGCAACTGGATCATATGTCCTCAGCAGTACATTTAGACAAGTTTATGATCAAACAGAATTTGGTGATTAGACAGTAAATAACGACAAGTAATATACCGAAAGGATTAGGAATATGTGTCAAGTCCCAGGGCGTAAAATGTGGCAAGGTCCAATTGCATCACAGAGAGCAATTAGATATGGACATATATAGGTGATTAAACAGTCGACTAAATCGGGGGCTGGGTGACCTGGACTCCTGGAGTTAACGGGCACCGACGGCCCTGCCCCACGGCCTGATGCCGTACGGAGGAGGCCTAATGCGGATCAGTCAAACCCAAGCATTAACGTGCAATACGTGCCGCTAGATCTGAGCGAGAAGTTTGCAGCCGGTCAGCTTGGGTTGCAGGCGACGGAGGAGGAAGACCGGTCGCGCATGGGCACCGGATGACATGTGCCTCGGCAACATTCCCTCGGAGGCGCCGTCGCCACCGGCGGACGGGTGCCAACCGGTGGCTCGCAGCGGGGGACCGATGGAGGCTCTGGCAACCGCCGCAGAGCCGTGTCCCAAAGTAGACAGCCGGAGAATGTACAGGCCGCGCCGGGCGCCCGATCGGGAAAGGAAAGGAAGTCGGAGCAAACAGAGGAAAGGCCGGGGATTCGCCGGAAGCGGACGAGCTCCGACCTGTACACGTGCAGGAGGGCCCTGACGCGGGAATAAAGTTGGCGTTATGGCCGTCGTGACGCTCAGGCGGCCACTCTCCCCCAAAGCCGTCGAACTCGGCGATGCAGGCGCAGTGCAAGGAAGGAAGGAAGCAGACCGACTGCCAAGGAAAGCTTCTATCGACGGGAAGGGCAGGGCAGGGCAGGGCAGGGCGCGAGGAAGACGACGACGACGACAGCCGATGGCGTTAAGTGTCGGCGATGCGGGAGATCGCTGCAGGAGGAGGCGCAGGAGGAGGCGGAGGGGAGGAGCGATCGGGCAGGCAGGGGCAGGGCAGCGGGAGGGGACGGGACGGGAGGGGAGGGGAGGGGGCCAGGGCCGAAGAGGAAGAGGAGGAGGAATTGAAGAAGGAGAGGCGGAGGACGTTTGGAGTTTGAGCTATGGCGGTCTCGAGGTGGAGGGCGAAGAGTCTGGTTCCACGTGGTGGAGAAGGTATGGCGAGGGCGAGGGCGAGGGCGATGTCTGCTTGTCTGTCCGAGGCTAGCAAGTACCCGAGGGGCGGGGAGGGGAGGGCAGGGGAGGGGAAGTTTTTAAGGCCCGGGAGGTGCTCTCTCGATTGTCATGTCGTCTGGTGCTGGTGCTGGTGGTCGTAGTCGTAGCAGTGGTGCTGCGGTCGTAGGCTGGTGTGGTGTGTGGCGTGCTGCGGTAGATCGATTGGAGCGAGGTGGTGTGGGTGTGCCGGTGAGGTGGAGACGACAACGAGGTCGTCGTACTGTGGTAGAATGCTAGCGGGCATGGGGAGGTGAGGTTGAGGTCGAGAAGCAGTGACAGATAGAGAGAGAGAGAGCGCGTGTGGGGAGAGAGTGCGGAAGAGGAAGAGGAAGAGAGAGAGAGAGAGAGAGAGAGAGAGAGAAGGAGGGAAAAGGCGAGAGAAGATGAAGCGAAGGAGCCGGGAGGAGGAGGGGCAGGGATGAATGCGCTCTAGAGAGACTTTTGTTTGATATTAGTAGCGTGGTCAGCTTAATGAGAGAGATCAAGGATCATTCATTATGAGTGCTGCCAATCCGGAGGAGGAGGAGGAGGTGCGGGCCGGATGATAATGATGGTGATGATGAGATGAGCGGTGGATGATGAGGTGTGCCTAGAAGAGGCGAGCGAGCGCGCGAGCGAGAGGAGGCTTGCCGGGTTTAGTAGGCGGCCATTCCAGCCACCTTCGGTAGCCTGCCGTGTCGAAGGGAAGGGAAAGGGAAGGAGAAAAAGGAGCAATTTGGGTGGGGATTTAATTTTTTTGGCCTCATTGTGGCATTGGTTTTGGAGGAGAGGAAGGACCACAGATGGAGTAGTTTACTCACTGACATTACCTCGCGAGCCTCTTTCTCTGTTTGGACGGACCTGTCAAGGGGTTCTGAGACGTGTGTCTCTTTGCTTTCGGAGTTCCACTCGCTCTACTTTTTTCGCCTGTGTGGCCGCGGCCAGCAAAGAGAAGAGAGGGTGGCGATGGTGGGCTTATTTTCTCGAATCTCTGGCAAGGTGGCACATCGGCCACAGCAATCTCTGGTGTGAAACGCCTTCCCTGATCTGGTTCCTTTTCATCACACTCCTTGATCATTCGAGTGACAAAAGTCTCCCACTTCGCGAGTGTCATTTCCCCTCGATATTAAATCATTTGACTTTCTATCATTAGTCCCGCATTGGCTCGAGCCACAAAACGTCGAGTTTGATTACGATTGCGAGATCTCTTCTCGCCCTCGTATCGGTCGGCCCTGTGCTTCAGATAAGGCGCTTGCGCTCCGCTCTCGCCTTAGCTCATTCTCGCATCCTGTATCCAATTGTGACAGCTGAGAATGTGGACCTGCCGAGAGCCCTGGCCCGAATAGAAGAGACGAGAAGAAGGGCGAGGGTACCTCGATGAAACACGAGGAAGAATGAGATTGTATACGAAGAAATCAGAGCAAGAATGAGCAGGTCTTTACATTCAGTAGGAGCAAAGCCTAGGCCCTGGCGGATCTGCAAGTGTTGCTATTCTTTCGTATGCACTTCTGCACCTGCCTTATACGTCCATTTGTAGTACGTGAAGCATATGTATACAGTCCTGCGTTGTATCATCTCGTTCGCCGAGGGTTGAAGATTCGCCCGAAAGTGTTCTTAGAATGTAACAATTTCGCGCTTTCAAGGATGACCTCGAGAAAAATGGTCGAATTCTTACTACTGGAGATTTTGGAACTATGCTCTGATCGAGGGGAGTCTTACATGGAGATCCCGTTCGCTTTTAAACGCCAACTGGTTCCAAAACTTGTTCGGCATGTGGTGCATTCCACATGCACGTCGATGAATTGTAGGAGGTAGGGAGGACATCCATAGCGCTCGAGTGATAACCATGAGCAAATTTAGTTTGTGTGTGTGTGGTAAATTGGTAGATACGTAAGCGCAGGCGCTTGTCGTTGTTCATGGCCTTCCTGGCCGCAATATCGTTAGTGGCTTCTTAATTTCATGACTGTTTCGAAAACCGCCCACGTCTCGGGCTTCGAGAGACATGTCCTGTAAAGTAGTTACGCGTTGCTTTGCCGCAGCGCTGGACCCTTACCTCCTGAGCCGAATCTCGCTCTCGGACCGAATCCCCTGTTTTCTGTCGAGTTCCAGATGTTGCATGTCTTTGAGTCATTGATCTACGTGAGAGGTTTCAGTTCATATGTGTACTGTAAGTTGTACAAATTTCCTTGCTCTCTTGTCGGCAACGCTAGCGTTCTGGAACTTGAAAATTAGTTGCCTCGGAGCCCTTTGCCGGTTTCTCAGGATGGTGTAGACAGTGCTCCTCCGGCTGAGTCGTTGGTAGTGATGATTACACTATGGGCTCCTTGAAAGGCGGCTCTCAGACGTTTCCGATGGCGAGATAGTGAAACTTTTGGAACTAGGAACTTCGCCTTTCGTGGCGGAGATCTTGGTATGCGTGCGGACAGTTATTCCAGAAGTTTTTTTGGGACGACTGCTTGCTTGCCCGCATGTGTCGAGATGCGTAGGTGGGTGTAGGTTTCGCGTGTGGTGCGAATTCTGTAGAGGAACGAACATGTTGGAAGGTGGAGAGTCATGATTGTGCAGGCCATAGTTCCAGCACGATATGATTGTGGGCTCTGATGCCCGTCTGCAGTCGCTAGTGGATGCCTCATGTCCATAGTTTTGGGAATTCAAATGGTCGCGCATCCGTTGTCATGTCAGCCATGGCATCACAGAGTACGTAACGGGCCTTAGGTTAGCGAATCTGCCCTTTGTCGAAGTCTGTGGGCAGGACGCGCTTTTACGTTAGGGTTGTGCGGAAATCGCTGGTGTTTCTGTGCGGTGGCAGTTGTGATTTTGCTCCGGAGGATCTGCTTGGTAGAAGGCAGATGCTTACTCTCGTCCTCTGTGGTGAAATGGTCTATCTTTTTAACGTGAGGATATGCGGTCATGCAGGAAGAGAAGGAGGTGAATAACATCGTGAAAGATACACCTACGTCGACGAATGGTGTCGGACATTGTGAAGAATTTTCTCCCGTTGAACACCCTTTGGAGCCTCCAGACATCGACAAGCCAGTGCGCTGTCCACCTCCAGAACCGTGCATTGTGCATGTGAGTACCCCGATACATCCTTCTGACAGGATGACAGGATCCTTCTCGTGTTTCTTTCTCACCAGCCGGATTACTTTGGCGGTCGGTCATTTATCCGTGTTTTCTTGTTCGTGATTGGGTGCCCCATGTGTCACTTCATCGATAGTTCACCCGTCGGAGCACTTCTTTAAGCTGACGTATTTTATCGAAGCATCCTTCAATTTGCAAGCGTAGCTATCACCATCATCTTGTGCTTTCATTAGACCGGATTCGTGTTATCGTCATCAAGGCCCGCCTTCGTTTCTACCAAAGATCGGGCTTTACGCGCATGGCCGAGCCTAACCCTTTAGTTCTGATCCCTGTGACTGCGAGTGACGGACTCTTGCATGGAGAAAATTCGCGCAGTTTACTTCCATGGTTGTTGTTCGATTCTTCGCTAGTTCGTTTCGAGCACATGCCAGAGTCGTACAGGACGGGCGCAGAGCTTGGATTTGGGAATTCGTTTTGTATTAAAATTTTCCGCTTGAGAAGCTTGGAATCGAGTGATCATGTTCCTAAAATTACACATGATATCCCAAATAATCTTAACGTGTGTTTGTCGTCATGGACAGGATGGGAGAATTTGGAAGGAGAGAGTCGCAATTGCCAGGAGAAGAATGGATATGGTGAAAGACAAAGATGGTGTCCCCGGTCGCCGACGAAAAGCGCTCTCCAGCGAACATGTCATACTCCCATCACTCAGCGCCCCAGAACATGTGATTCTGAAATATTTGGAGTAGGAGTTTTAATTTTTCATAGTTTGCAATTTCTTGTTAATTCTTATGGATGGACGTCTTGACCATCCGTTACGAAGGGGGCCTGCTGAGGAAACCCTGTGCACTGGGGTGTTTCATGCAGAGATTGTATTATAACACTAAATGATTTGCTAGTTGGGAGGGAGTTATTTTTTCACTGAGATTTAGAGTCCAGCTTCGGGGATCTCATTGTTGTAGTTAAGAGAATTGGAATCCTTACCAGAGCAAATGCGCAGAGTTGCTGCCTCTTGTTCTGATGTACATACCTCCACTGCTGGCCCGATTGTCACATAAGTATAAGGACATTCTTTTTGGGTAAGAGTCTTCATTTTGATGTACACATCTCGAAAGAGAATGTTAATTTTCCTTCGCCTTGAAGCTCAGGCAGAGGATCTTTAATTCAGCATTCGGAACTTTCAGTCTTGTCAATGGTTGGTTGAACTTTTTTGGAAATGGAGTTGGATTATTTTTCGGGGTTCTTTCCGTCAGATACGATGGTCGTGAGAGGCGGTTTCAAAGCATTCATACACGTGCAGGCCTGTCAACTGGCTGCAAGGGGGGTGGATTGCAAAGAGATTGGGATTCCTATTGGCTTGACAGAAGCACTCAGTTACAGAGCTATAATTATCTCTGTTTCCTCTTTACCTGAATTTCCCGTTATTGGAGGTATTGCACTTTACGGTGAGAGCACTGAAGCTTCAGCGTTTCATAGAATGATTGACAAAGATCAGTTGATTCCTTACTGTTTTCATTTATTGCTGATATTTGTTGGGGAGGCGACGGTCTTGGTGCTGTGACTCGGCACCAAAACTGTGACTCAGAGGCATAGAACGGGCTTGAGTATAGCTGATTCCTCAGCATCTTCCACATCACAGAGCTGATTGCACGGGTGTGGAAGGTGGGGAGTTTCAGTTCCACGTTGAATTTATCCTATTTGAGCGGGACACATTTCGGTCGGGTTATGAGGAGGGAGAGCTGCACATAGACAGACAAAATGACTTTCTGACAGATGCAGAAACCGAAAAATCACGCTTGTGTTGATTGATTCTCTCGTCCAGGGCGAACTGGGGGAAGACGAGACAGTGACATGCGGCATTGTGCACAGCTTTTGGCCTAAGGACTACTGACGAGGAGACCATGCAAGGCTGGATTATCAGCCATCAGCAGTGACAGCCCATGACGTCCTTGCCTGTACAGTCTCGCAGTGCCAGAGTGGTACACTAGGCGAGTACTCAACCTCAGAGACCTTGATGAACGAAGCAGCTGTGCGAAGTACTGAACGAGACTCATGGGGCTCAGGCCGATCTACTGTTCAAGCTTGCGGGGAGTTGTACAGGAACGGGCTACTGCTCAAGATTTGGAATGATCCCATTCCAGCGCCACCAATCAACTGCCTTCGTGGCAAATCTCGTTTTGCGCAATCTCCCCGCTAACATTTTTGAATGCGGGTCTCAATTAGACTTGCAAAATCAAATTCAGCAGAGCAGCCTCACCCCACAGCCGACTTCTCCTCTAGTTGGTTAGTTTCCGCGGTGGTGGCCCTCGAGGTCGCCCAATCGTGCTCTACTGTCACGGGAGTCCGCTGACTTCAGAGGTTCAGTCCTTTCTAGCTACAGGATAACCCTGTGCACCGACCCAATTAATCTCACATACTATACTACCCAGTAATGAACGTGAGCTCCGTTCAACGAGTCAAACTTTGTTCATGTTTATTGCCCGAGCTCTAAAAGATTATTCTCTCTTCCGATAAGTGTACTGTATTCTATTCCTCTCTGTGTTTGAGAATTCTTCCACGATCCTTCCATGAACAACAGCACATAGGCCCTGCGACAGCGACACCAGGCCCGTCCAGGGCGCAGAAAAGTGCTGCGAAAAAGCTGCGGGATCTCGGACTAGAGTGTGCAGGACGCTATAATGGCTGGGTGCAGAACTGCAGGCTCGCCCGGTGGACCATACCTACAGTGAGGAGCACTGAGAGCCGAGGACCGAGGACGAGCACCCGCGAGCAGTGGCGGGTTGACAATCATCTTTTCATTTCGTGTGCCAAGCCAGCAGTGCTTTGCTCAATGGGGCATGTTGGCCATAACCGTCCAATGAATAAGCCACAGCCCGGTGCAGCAGCCTCGATATTACCCGAAGGAGTCCACCATCTCCAGCTGATGATCAGCGTCGAGTTCCATGTCTGACTGAGCTGCGTCCCCCTTCCTCGTCCTGTGAGCTGGACACCTCCTCCCATGGACCCCGGACCTCGAACCTGCTGTCAGCCTTTTCCCCTTTCCTAGTCACCCGTTCCAATTATCTTCCGGTGCCATGCCCCACTGTATATCCGATCGTCCTGCTTGTTTGGGGCATGATGAGCTCGTGCACTCTCCTCACGCTCTGGGCTCATGGGCGATGCAGCATGACATGGTCCACAGCCTCCCACATCCTCGTCCCTCGGTGTTGGGAGACCGGGAGACATGATGAAGGATTGGAAGGAATTCCTTGATAGTTGCGAGGCATTCCAATCACCCGAGGTGAAGTTTTGTGAGTGGCGGAATTGCCAGATGGGTGTGGTACTATGGGGCATTTTTCTTCTTATTTTTCTCTCACGATTTGTCTGCCATCCTCTCTCGGTAGCACGTCCGACGCAGATAATGGAGAGCTGGCGAATAACCTCGGCGTGACAAATATGGCAACCTCGTTGCTCCACCGCAGTCGCACGGTTGGCTTCGCAAGATTGCCACTCGTCATCCTCCGAAAAATCTAGAGCTCGACGTTGGACATGTCGTGGGCGAAAATCTATGCGCCACCATCCTGTGCAAGTTGTCATCCTTAGCTATCGACCTATAGCTAGCTCCCCCTCCTCTGGGTCTCCTCATTGCGCATCCCTCGTCAACCTCTTCCTGCTGCTCGTCCTCGTCCCGCTTCGGTGGTCCCTCCAGACGGGCCGGGTCATCAGCCCTCAGACGGTTTCATGAATCATGAGCACCCACTCCCAAACAGTTCTGCTTTTCCATGCCTGCCTGCCCTCGAAGTCTTGTCGTTCTCCTCCGCCTTTCCAAGCTTTGTACTTTCAGTCTGCAAGCAGAGCGGTGACATCGACTTGTCTACAAAAGTGAGCTCATCTCTGACACCCATGCCCACATCAATCCACAACATAACAACCCCTACATGACCAACGCAGCTGACACCCTCCTCGCGCACTCAGACGGCACATAAGTTGCAGCCTGATGAGTCTCGTTTAGCACTAAGTTTAGATCTGTGGGCTCTGGGATCCAGCAGCAGACATGTTCTGCTGTGCACTCGCTTCCAGATTTCGGTAGCCCCAGACTCAGCCGCCCTGCCGCAACAGCGCCTCCAGGCTGGGCCGGGCTAAACTAAGCCCTGTGCCCAGCAAAACTGTACCTTCCCTGCTCCCTGCACCTCTGCATGAATCTCTGTCCCTTGGGGCATTTGTCTGACCTTCTTCAGTATTTCAGCATTTTTTTCGTTGAACAGGAAGCACTTCTAACGCGGATGATACTTCGTTATCTTGCCGAGCTTCTTTGGGTTTCGGTTTGTTCCTGGGTGGGGATGGTTGGTGGGAGAGAGCTTTGACATGCGCGTTGAACGTACGTGCATGGTCCTGTGGTGGGACATGAGGGACAAATATCGTTTCGTTGCGTGGAAATGATGGATGTAAGAAAGAGAGAGAAAGAGAGAGGCGAAGGATTCGATGAGCGAGGGTGAAATAATAAAAAATCGAGGCCATGAAAGAAATGGGAAAAGCAAACGAAAGCTGTGGAAGCATGTGAAGGCATTGATAAGCCGTTAAGCCGGAGCCGAATATGATCCATCTGAGCTCTCGCAATTTCTACGAGCGGATAACAAAAGCAACATTCTTGCTCACCCTCGCCAATCCTTTCGCCCGCCCTAATTAATTCCTCTGGCCTTTCGGGATATTTCGTGTTATTACTCAACTTTTGATACTGACCTTTTCAAACGGACTTTCTAGCTTCTCTAGAAAGCTGGAGCTCCGGTCAACCTTCTAGAAATGGGTCTTCAAGACGAGCAGCAGCAAATATGCTTTGGGAAGTTGCGAGCTAGAGCTAGTCGGAATCCCGATCCTGATGATTGCACTCGGAATATTGCACAATAGAATCTGCTGGTTCCCTTTCTCCGGAAGGACCTCCAAAAGTCTGTCCAATCCTCCGTAACGTAGTCAAAAGCCAGGAACGTACTCATTCGGAATGTGGAATGTGGAACGGGGAATGTGGAATTTCATTTGATGCACGCTGTCGCTGTCGCTGCAGCATCTCCATCGAGTGTGCCATGACAAATGGACCTTGGACTCCTCGGCCGAACCCTTCCTCTTCCTTCCTCGCCTCTTTATCACAGGCCGTGTTCGAATCCCACGGAGACGGGAACGGAGTCCTCGGAGCCTCCGAAAACATAAATGAACAATAGTGCGCCAGTCGCCGGTCTTCGAGTACTACCGACACACAGACGAGCCCTTCAATTCGAACGTTGCGGAGTCCTTGGGCCGAGCCATCCGGGCTCGGCTTGTCGGTGGGGTTCCATCAATCGGCCCTCGGCCCTCGGCCTTGGCCTTGGCCTCGGCCCCGGTGACCGGGCTCCTGTGCAGGTCAAAAGATTCGCGACGGAGGAGGAGGACGCTGCGAGGATTTGGGCGTCGCGTACTCCGTGCGTTCTTACCGTTATGCAAATGCTGCTCGGCGCTCCAGGAGGAGCCACACAGCAACTTGTACGTTGTTCCCATCGCGTAATGACATGAACACGTAGGCCATGGCGTAGTCGTCGCCGTCGTCGCCGGAGCGATTCGGCCTCCTGCCTTTTATTCGTGAGTTTTATTATTGCTTTGTATTCGGGCTTGACAAATGGTGACATGTGCTGCTTCTTGGTGTCATTTTCTTGAGTGGGCTCTGGCAGTGTAAGCAATTTCATGATTGAATGACGATTTCTGCATTTATCGTATTATAGCTTCGACATCAGAGAGATGATTAGTCACCCTCATGAAGATTCCCCGTACATAATTCATTGATCTTGGTCTTATTGCATTGCCTTGACCGGTCTTCATGAATTGACATGTTAAATGTACTTTAGGAAATGAGAAAAACTTTAACCTTTTAGTACTTCAATCTTGCTGTGATCGCAGAGAAGGATGCAACAAAATCTGCTGAAGAGTAAAGATACTAGGATATCTAAATGAGATTTATAGAGGTCAAAATAAGTGGATTTATATTGTACACTCTTTCCATTCCATGCAATAATTCCTCAGTGAAATGTGATAATCCATTCTTTATGCATATGTATGACTTTTCTATGTGCTTTAAAAATAAGAATTTAAAAAAAATAACTAAACCATTTGAGGTCTAGTTATTGACGCTTATATGCGGTATCTCAACTTGCCTTGATAAGAATGTGTTTGGTCTCTTGAGAGATATAT